TGCGTTGAGAGAACCGTGCAACAATGCTAATCGCTCAACGACTTCATTGATATCGTCATAATATACAAATTCTTTCAAACGATTTGAAACCGGTTTGAACGTAAGACCCCAGCCGACGACCTGGTCTTCAACAAGGTCCAGCTGGTTATCGGTAGGGTGCTCACTGTTTTCAACGTCTAGCGGTTCCACCTGTTGCTCGTCGGGGTCACTGACTCCCTTTTCTGAGTGTCCGAGCAGACTGTGAGGGTCACTGACTTGCTTTTTTCCCGCGCGTTTGTCCGGGCTGACCGCTTCCTTTAAGAATGTATCTAGATTTTGCCCGCTTTTGGAAAATAACGGGCGAATAATATGTTTGTACTTGAACCCCGCGTTAGATTTCAATTTACCGTTGGCTTTCACGTGAGCCCGCGTATGTATTAAAAAGTTTCTATATTCTGATAAATCCTGAGTTGTTACAACGTCCATACGGGGGGTTGAACTAAAGACCAATTCTTGTAGACCTTTAGTAAATTTAGTAACGGGTAAACTGCCGACTTTAATATCATGTCCGTCGAGTTGAACTGTCTTATCACCCATCACCCAAGATCCGTCTTTCTGATATTTTACGCCATAAGACGGACTGGATTCAGTGTAAAATTGGACGTCTGTCTCACTCACGATCGACTCGGAGTCGGTCAATGCACTCTGGTCTACTTGATCGTCGGGATGAGGTGGAGGGGGAGACGGTGTAGATACGGCGTCGGTCGGTTTATTTAACTGAGACGCGATGTCTTCCAGTGGCCTTACTAACGCAGCTGCGTGTGTCCGTAAAAACTGGTTCGATTCGGACAAACCACGCCGCAAGGCGTCTAATTTCGTCTTGATATTTTTTTTAGCTTCAATAATTTCCCGTGTAAGCGTCACCGGGTGTTTGGCTGTTGCCCCACCGCCCACCATTGTGTGCGAGCGTGTGTGGTATTACCTGATGTTCACGGCAACTGAACGTTTACAACGGGGGGTCGTTCACACAATTATAACGATTTTTTCGATGCACCAGACTTTTTATAAAAACGTCCATACCTTGCCTATACCGGCCCGCGTCTATAGGAAAGTCTTTGGCTATTGTTAAAAACCCGTACGGCCCAGAATTCCAGCTCAAACCGCACATTTCTTTGAACTCGGCAAACGTAAAATTATCACCACAACAATGGTCGTCGAAAATATGTTTAATGTTCGTTTCGTCTTGTTTGTATACAATTATTAAGTTAGCGTTATCTCGGATAAGCTGCTTAGGGACCTTAGTATATGTTTGGGTCAAATAGAACGAGTCTAGATTGTTGTGTCGACCTCGGGTGAAAAAATGACTAATATTTTTTTGTTTTTCGCCGACTACGTCGTCAAAGATGCAAACGCTAAAGTGTTTAAGTTCCTCGGGTGGCATTACGGCATCGTTTTCAGTGAAAATTGTCATGTCGACACCGCTTACGTCATTGATAATCGATTGTAAAAGTTGATACTTGGGTTGATTCGGGGTTTTCGTGTAAAGGTAAACATGTTGAAACTTTAAACCGTTAGGTGCCGTTAACAAGTTAAATAGTAAATTTGTTTTACCGCAGCCGCTAGCCCCGCACAAAATCGCTCTAGCGTTATTCGCCAATAAAGCACCGTGTCGAGAGCGTGTAGTAAGCCGATGCCTTACTCATATTATTAATATATATATTTTATGTTTGTTGATGTGACGTCATTTTGACATCACATATAGGCTCTATATATTTCTTAATTATCCTTGACTGGCTTTTAATTACTACCGCGTAGTAAGCTTTGTTAATAGTTGTTTCCCTTGTCTAAACCTTGTCTAAAACCTAGTTTTATGTTGTTTATCCCAATATACTAATTTGCATATTAGTATATAAACTTACCTATTTTACTATACAAGGGTCAGTCGTAAGCCAGTCAATTACTACGTATATCATTATTATTAATATCATTATTGTTATTATTGTCAAAGTATAAAGAGCTTAATTAAATAAGTTTAAGTTTTACTTTTCAAAGTGTTTTTATTATTACTACAACCTCAAACATTCTCATTTATCTTCCTGTATGTAAACGCCCCTTGGGCTCACTACATATATTTGGTGTCAGAAGAAAAGTGGACTTTCAAGCTTCTATTACGTTCGGCGTAATTAGAAGCGTGAACACAACATCGTTCAAAAGCCACTGACGAAACGCTGTCCCTATCGGTGCATACAGCTGATCACTGTAGCCGATAGTAGCACCGCAGAACTTCAACCTTCTCGCGGTCAACAAACCCAAGTCCAAGCTTGGTCAACGATATCATACATCGTTGCAAAACCAATTTTTTTTTTGGTCAGTGTAAGGCACTGTCAAACCCAACATCAGTTGGTCAACGCTGCGGATACCCATTATCCAAGCGTTGTAAAATCCGTGTGTTCTATTTTTTAATAAAATACACGGTCGACGGTAATACGTCGTTACACATTCATTGTGTAATCAACATCCTCATCGGCGGTCATTCCAAAACTGGTTATCACCAAGCAGTCACCCAGGTACAGAAGGAACCGACAACGCCGCAGACCCGTCCGTTTCCAGCTTCACATACAAATAAACACCAATCCTGCCCAACATCATTCATCCATCGTCCGTCGTCATGTCTCTACCACAGATGTGTTTATTAATTTCAGTATTTTATGGTGCATACACACAACAAAACTATTCCATACAGGAGCTTTCACAGCCTTCTGGTATTTTTTTTGAGAATAGAGGAACCATTAAGGTCATCACTTCAACGTGGACTCTCGCTGCTTATTTTAATACTCAATCATTTATACAGGACTCTACTATGTTAAATTATACAGTAGTTAAGGGTCAGTCGTAAGCCAGTCAATTACTACGTATATCATTATTATTAATATCATTATTGTTATTATTGTCAAAGTATAAAGAGCTTAATTAAATAAGTTTAAGTTTTACTTTTCAAAGTGTTTTTATTATTACTACAACCTCAAACATTCTCATTTATCTTCCTGTATGTAAACGCCCCTTGGGCTCACTACAAGCGTAGTGCTGCTGGTGTAGGAAGTTCTATATTGCGTATAGGGAATCCGTCTTTCTGTTTGTTCAAAACAAACATCGTGGAGAGGGTGACTATAAATTGAACGCGAAGCGTTGAAATCCGTTTAAACGTCGATATATCACCAAAGGTCACAGTTTAATAAACCTGCAGTGGATTGCTCAACTCATTTATAAATAATTTTCCGTGCAAAGTGTGCTGCTGCTTGAAGATTGTACCAGTTTGTACCGCGGCAAAATGAAACGCAAAAGACGTTTGGGTATGGGCGTAAGCTTTAAGTCTTTAGTGTCAGCGGGTCGCCGTGCGATGCGCAAGGCATCCAGCAAAGACATAAATGTGCTAGCCGACACCGGGCTTGCCGCAGCACAGAAAGCGCGCTCAAGAGGTAACCGGAAACCCAAAATCCCTCGCACAATTCGCGTGCCCAAACTGGGCGGTTTTCTACAGATCTTGCCGTTAATTACCGGATTAAGCGCGGCCGGTAGTTTAGCCGGAGGGGTAACCGGTATTTTAAAAGCATATCGCGAAATCCAGCGCAGCAAAGACCAGGCCAGAGTCCCGGTAAAAGTCGGTGGAAATATTTATTTGCACGCGGGCAAAAAAGGCGGTGGATTGTATTTGAGACCGTATCGCGTGACAAAAAACTAATTAAAGCGCTCTTGCCGAAAAAAAGGGCATTGAGCGATATCGATATTATAAAATACGCGTCAATTTTAGGATTACGACACTTTCGCGGTGTGTTCAGTAGGGATACGTTGCCCGCATCTGGCCCACATCGATTTGAGTGTGCTGTGGTTAATCAAGCTTTGGAAAACGACCGGGGTACGCATTGGACTGCTTATTATAAATGCGACAAAGTTACTCATTATTTCGATCCATACGGCGATCTTGCTCCTCCGCCCGAAGTTGAACGATATTTTCGAACTTGCTTGGTACTCTATAATTACGACCGCGTTCAAGAATACTCTACTTTCGTGTGCGGACAGCTGTGTTTAGAATTTTTATACGATCAACAAAATAATCGGCGACAATGAACCGGTCATTCACACTGTCGTTTCAAGGAAAAAAGAGCGAAATGACTTGTACAATTTTCCCGCCTATAAAACTGCACGGACAAGCTGAAATAGCCCTGTTGAGTTTACAGGCTTACAGTTCGTACCCAAATATCCATGATGGAAATAATGTTTTACGCGTAATTATACCCGACGGAATAGCAAAACATTCCTATAAAAATGATTATATAGATATTACAGTCCCCGTCGGGTCATACGAGATACGCGACATTGAATCGTTTTTGCAAAATCAATTTAAAGAGCAATTACCGCCGGGCGACGGTATTTGGGTTACAGCTAACGCGACCAGTTTGAAAACCGAAGTGTCGAGTTCACGTGATATCGACTTTGACGTGCCAAACTCCATAGCACCGTTTCTCGGGTTTGAAAAAAAACGGCTAAAATCCGAGCGAGTACACGTTTCAGATCACTTGGCCGCGGTGAATTCATTGTTGTGTATTCGTGTCGGCTGTAGTATCGCCACGGGGGCTTATGTTAACGGCACCAACACACACGAGATATATGAATTTTATCCTTCACAGCCGCCCGGGTATAAAATAACCGAATCCAGTTTACACTTGATTTATTACCCCGTTTTAGTAAGGCAGATCGATTGTGTAACGCTCACTTTGACCGATCAAAACGGTCGATTAATTGATTTTCGCGGTGAACCAATTTCGGTGAGACTACACGTTAGAACCGTATTATAATGGCTCTAGTGTTTTGTAAAAAGAATCGTAAACGTGCACCGTCCCAACAAAAAGTCTATTTTTCACCCGTTAAAAAGCGTCACGCTTTTAGCAAACCGAACAGTCGACCTTCAACTCGACCAGCATTAACAGCAGACAGTGTTAAGACGTTAGCGCAATTAGGCTACAATGTCCGCAGCACTGCGAGACTCACTGGACGTAAATCAAAAGCCCGCGTTTGACGAGAGCATTACGAAACGCCAGTATCACAGTTATCAACCTTATTCTAACGTAGCTTTGGGCAATAACGACGAAATTAGAATCGCAATTAATCAACAGGATTTATACACTTTCCCGGCCGAATCATATTTATACATGCAAGGGACTATCAATAAACCGGCCACCGTAACGGAAGAAGTACTTTTTGTCAACAACGGCGCTATGTTTCTTTTTGACGAAATCCGCTACGAATTAAACTCTATTGAAATAGATAAAATTAGAAACCCGGGCATCACGACTACGATTAAAGGATATATTTCAATCCCGCACGGTTCAGTGCACCGTTATCAAAACGCCGGTTGGGATAGCGATGGCAATATCACCGGTTCCTTTGAACTTTGCATACCCTTGAGTCATATTTTCGGGTACGCCGAAGACCATAGAAAATTGATTATTAACGCCCGGCAAGACCTAATTTTGCATCGAGCCGCGTCGGATGTAAACGCGCTGAAAACGGCAAAGGACGGGTGTACTGTTACACTGAATAAACTACTGTGGAGAGTACCACACGTACACGTTAGCGATACCGTGCGGCTGAAGCTATTGAAAACCTTGGACTCGCGCCGATCGGCTTTCGCAGCTGGGAATGTTTTGAATACCCGCATCTGCCGAGGACGACTAAAGTTTCTTGGGCCGTTAAAACCTCATCGCATACCGAAAAACCTCGGTACGTCGTGATAGCTTTTCAGACTAACCGGAAAAATAATATCGCTGCGGATATGAGCAAGTTTGACCATTGTTCGATAACCTCACTGAAAGTTTTTCTAAACAGTGACAGTTATCCGTATGACCCCCTATCTATCGACTTTTCTACTGATAAATACTCAGTTTTATACGACATGTACGCTGCTTTTCAAGAATCATATTACTCGGGTGACAGATCTGAAAATTCGCCTTTGCTGTCAAAGGCCTTGTTCAAGTCAGAAGCACCCATTTTCCTATTTGACGTTAAATTAGCACAAGAGGCAGTGAAAACTACGACGTCAGATTTACGTTTGGAGATTGAATCGAGTATAAATATACCGGAATCAACATCAGCTTTTTGCCTTGTGTTACACGATAAACTTTTTGAATATAATCCGTTAAGCGGCCAAGTTAATAAACTCCTATAGATTTAACACCAACAACACCAATGCATTGTACATACGTTTACCGTATACAGAGACCAGATATTAAATTTAAGTCAGCACCTTTTTTTTGGTTTAGCAAAATATATCAACATAAGGTATGTGTAATAAAATTATCCAACACAATTGTTCGATGAATGGTTTTTTTTTTAATAATAATAAATATATACATTTTTTTTACAAATGGCATTTTTTTTTTTTTTAATTTAATTTCCGCCTAGCCGACGGGTTTTTTCTATTTATTAGCCTGGGCTGAGCTGCTGTTTGTTGCGCCTCGTCCGATGAAACAGCTTGTTCAATTTGCTGCTCCAACTGCACAACTTCATCATCCAGGCCCCTGGCTTGGCTGGGGTCAAAATCTGGACTCGGAGGGCTGGGCGATATATTACCAGTAGCAGCAGCACCATCAGCGTCAGCAGCAGCAGCATCAGCAGTAGTAACGGCAAACGGGTCTTCTTGATCTGTATTTAAAATATATATTTAGATTCTCAGAACGTATAATTATATGTTTTTTTTTGTTTACCAAATATCGCATCGATGGTTACCTGCTCATCATTTGGTTGGATTGTTGATATGCTGGGAACATAATCCCATTCTTCGGCTGTAGTGCAAAAAAATTAATTATACTCTATTTCAGCACTCTTTATCGGTTTATAACTTACCAAATACTTTTTCTAAAACGCCCTGATCTTCCAAGTAAATGGGCTGCCTCTCGGGCACATCATCATCATCCGAGTCATCGCAGAGGTCAATTATTCCCGAAGAAATATCCGACCCCACGCCTGACTCGGCAAACATGTCGGGTGAGTTTGTTGAAAAAGATAGCTCTATTGGACGAGCATACTCTTCGTCATCGGTCTAAACATCAACCATAAAGTTCATCAAGCTGTTTATATTAAAATACGTTTATACTTACGCTATAGTCGTCAAAGTAATTTCGGCGCCTCCTGTATCTGTGTGGCGTGTCGCTTTCGTCAGACATTGTTGAAACAAACTGTACGTCATTCGTCCGTTTTCGCCAGTTATATAGCGCATTTTTTTTAGCCATCTGCTCGTGACAAAAAAATTAACCAAACAAAAGTGAAATTTTTACTATGCTATAACAATTTTTTTTATCGGACAAATGCAAAATTTCATGTTTATTGCGTTATTGACGCCCCCGAATAATTATCAGGTTCGCCGTCTTGAGACACGAGCCGGCTGATATAATATTTCACCTGGTCGCAATTTTGTTCAGACCACTTTTTAATTAGGTTTAAATTAATTGTAACCCGCAACGGACATTGTTCACTGACGTCGTGAATTTCATAGCAGTCGTAACATCTGCCGTCGTTGTCGGCGTCACCGTGACCAGGAGGTCCGAATCGTTTACCACACTTTGTATTGTATTCCGGGCGGGTTTGTAAAAACCCGATTAGCGGGCAACCTATTTGATCAATACAGTAAACTTTAAATTCGTCCGGCAGTAATCGCCTGAGGAAATCACGTTTTCGACAATCCGTCGTAAATACGGTTACTTTACAAACTCCTATTGCAGGTGTCAAATTCCACCTGATTGAACGTTTTGCGTGCTCCAGACTACCGTATTTAAACGTCGTTGCGAAAGTCAGGTTTTCAAACAACGCTATTATTTGAAGGTTACAAAAATTTGGAGCGGTATTCCCGCAAAAAAAATCAACAACACTGTACTCTGTGAATATCATAATATTATTCAACGCCGCCGCAGCCGTTATTATCGCCTCGAACGTTTTACCAATACTAACACGTCTTTGCACTCACTTTTAACCATCTGCCTGTCAGGTGTACTCGCACGGCACGACGTACAGTAGCACCCTCGAGTGTTTAGCATACCGTCAGCACCAGGTGGTTTTTCGCCACCGGCCGGAATGCGAAAATTATTCAAACTGCTTTACGGGTAACCGTAGCTCTCCTGACCGGTTGATTTTTTTTTTCCTGTTAAGCCCACAAATTCCGATGATCAACTTTTTTATTCTTTACCCTCCAAAAACACTTGGGTGTGTTGTTCTGTATTTGCTAATAAGGACTAATTTCAAAATTGGTGGGAGAGAATTTTTCTCTGAAATCATCGGGGCCCCCGATTCAGAGATCAGTTTTTAGTTTCAGTATAGTAACAACAACAATAATAGACTCAACCCAGAAGCAACGCGCTGTACAGTACTTGACCGATGGTAAGTTGCAATTTTTTTTTTCAATGTTTTCAATTTTAATTTCGATTACAATTTTTTTCAATTTTTTTTTCCTTTAGGATACAAAGGTCTTTCAATGGGAGTTACCATTGAGTTAGAAATGCTGGGGACGAGTTTTCTCGTCGTCGGCCAGTCGGCTCCGGGGGTAAGTCAATTTTTTTTTTATCTATTTTCTTATAATTAATATTTTTATTCTACGCTATACAGAGGAACTACCGGCTTTGGTAACTGTGGATTGGGAAGTGCACTCAACCCAGGCGACTACAGACGGGCCGTCAACTGGTGATCAGCCGCCGTCGTCACCATCAGCTTAACATCCTCCCAGCCGATGCACATTTTTCAAATAACCGTATTATTATTATTTTTTTTTAATATTATTATTATTATTCTTCTATTATTATATAAGTAATGCTTTAATCATTTTTTTATTTTCTTTATTCACCTTTTCTTAGTTGCTCTAATCATTTTTTTAAATTTTCTTATGGGTTGTGTGTGTGTGTGTGTGTAAGTGTGTGTGTGTGTGTGTGTGTGTGTATACAAGTGTACGCATTTGAGTATGTTTTATAATGATATCAAACGGATAAAGGTAACCATCACTTTTTTGTAAAAGGTATATATATATATATATACTACATTTTACGGGTTGCGTGTATACAAGTGTACGCATTTGAGTATGTTTCATAATGATATCAAAACGGATAAAGGTAACCAACACTTTTTTGTACAAGGTATATACTACATTTTACGGGTTGCGTGTACGCATTTGAGTATATTTCATAATGCTATTATATCAATCATACGGATAAAGGTAACCAACACTTTTTTGTAAAAGGTATATATATACTTCATTTATTGTAATACAGGTAAACAATTTTTTTTTTACAAACTATTGCAAATGCTTTTAGATAATTAACAGGCGAGTCATATTTTTTTTTTAAAGTAAACTATTGCAAATGGGTTTAGATAATTAACAGGCTAGTCGTATAACAGATATTCTATATAATATTTTATCAATCGAATAAAAAAACAAACACACCAATACACATCCGTCCAATGGTCTGACATATTGTTTTGAATTTTTTTTTCAAATAACGTGTTCCATTTCTACATCGCCCACTGTGTCGACCACCGCGGCCAGTTGAGTTGTTGCAGCTGCCCTGTAAACACGTTATTTTTTTAGTTTAATATATATTTCCAACATTCTTAATTTTACATACTTATCAATTTGTTCAATAAGTTTGCTCACATCAGTCAAATGATCCCGTATTTCCTTTTTCTCTTTGTTTTCCCCTTTGCTTTGGTCGGCGGCGTCGTCGTCGTTGTCGTTAACACTTTTCCACATCCTGTAATACAATTAATTATTTAAAATAATTTCATCGAAACATCAGCAGCAGCAGCAGCCGAAAGAGAGAGACATTACCTGGCATAATCGTCGTCAAACAGTCGTTGAAAGTCCCAGCTATGGATTGGCGCGTCCATTGCTTTTGCTTCTAAGCTTTGCGGTGTCGATTCTTCCGCGGATAGAGACCGTAAGTACTCGTCCCATATAAATGCTACTATTCATTCGTTGGTGATCGTAAATCAAAAGCTCCTTGTAAAACGGATGTTTCTTTCTCGGCATTAGGTTAATCGGCCAATTTATTATTATATTGTATATACCCTGTATGGGCGAGGTTAGATATCTTATAATAACCTCGGTTTTTATAACGTTTATTAACGCTTTACATTGGTCAGTTAACATTTCACTAATTACCGATTTTTCCGTCACTGCCCGACGCATTATTTCACGTTGCCGTTTAATCGACGTCAAGTTATTCTTAGTAATGATATTCGGTGGCCAGCGTATTCGATTACCAAATACGAGTTTGAAAAACAACGCGTTTTTTTAATAGTCAGCCCCGGTATGGGGATTACCGCTCTCTTACCATCGTTGCCATTATCGTCAGACATTATTTTAATAAGATTGTCTAAAGTACCCAACAATCCGATAAACTTATCGTGTTCCATACACAAGCATGCTGTAGCACATACTATAAGTATTGCTTGTTTGTATGCACTGTTAATTTTTGACCATTCGCATCCGATGTGAATAAGTTTTCTCTCGTTCAGGTTAACCGTAAACACCGCAGCCGATATCAGCTGAGTATCAACCGTGTTGATATGTCTTCTCGGCAAAATTCTTATTTCTTTTTTCCCGTAGCCACTCATAGTACACACACGCACGCGATATCACTTCACAACTAGATAACCGTTCTACAAGAACTCTTCACGACGTACTACTGGTGGCCCCATTTAAAAGACCCCTTTTATGTATCTAAGCGTTTGCATCCAACAGCCAATGATA